TATATATATATATATGTATATATGTATGTATATATATATACATATACATATAAATATATATATATGTGTGTGTGTGTCTAAGTTCGTATAATCTTAACTGAAGTGATATGTGTGCGAGTATAGCGTTGGTATTTTGATATTTTGTATGACTACGCATCGAAGTTCAGATAGTCTTACCCGAAGTGACTGTGATATACTGCCGTTCTATTCGCTGCAGGCTCAGTGCCCTTGGCAGACAAGGGCGATGCTTTAATGGAGGCGCTGAGAAAGATACACGTCAACCTAGTGGTAAAAGATACCTACCAGTTCTTCCAGGTACCGGTTGATCCATCACAGGCACCACAGTACACAGAGGTATGTAGATATGACCTTGTATGCTCTATATAATGTTTTATCAGTAGAGTAGGAACACTACCGGCTGACATAGCTTCGCTGTTGCTAATACTGAGACACTGTGAGTGTTTGTAAACTTGGGTTGTCGACCAAACAACCACACATTGCTGTGTATATACGACCCATGAGTGTGACTCTACTATCCCCGAGCTTTATCATTGGAACGTAGCCGTAATAAGACCACACTCCATGCTTCGCTCCTTTCAGATTATCACACGTCCGATGGACTTCGGCACAATGTTCACGAAATTGGAGGCAGAAGAATACGGTTCAATCGACGACTACAGAGCAGACTTTGAGCTCATGTGCAACAACGCTATGACTTATAACATGGAAGCAACTATCTATCACAAGGTATGACTTACAATATAGTACCAGCTATCTATCCAAAGGTAAGGCTTGCAATATAGAAGCAACTATTTATCACAAGGTATGACATACAATATAGTACCAGCTATCTATCCAAAGGTAAGGCTTGTAATGCAGAAGCAACTGTCTATCATAAGGTATGACTTATAGTATGGAAGCAACTATCTACCACAAGGTAGGACTTACAATTTAGTACCAAATATCTATCACAAGGTATGACTTGCAATATACTACCAGCTATCTATCTAAAGGTAAGGCTTGCAATACAAAAGCAGCAATTTATCACAAGGTATGACTTACAATATAACCAGCTATCTATCCAAAGGTAAGGCTTGTAATACAGAAGCAACTGTCTATCATAAGGTATGACTTATAGTATGGAAGCAACTATCTATCACAAGGTATGACTTACAATATAGTACCAACTATCTATCTAAAGGTAAGGCTTGCAATACAGAAGCAACTATTTATCACAAGGTATGACTTACGATATAGTACCAACTATCTATCACAAGGTATGACCTACAATATAGTATTAACTATTGATCACAAGGTATGACTTACAATATAGTGCCAGCAATCTCAAGGTATGACTTACAATATAGTACCAACTATCTATCACGAGGTATGACTTACAGTATAGTACCAACTATCTATCTAAAGGTATGATTTACAATATTGTAACAACTATCTATTACAAGGTATGACAAAAGCAAATATCTATCAATATGTAAGGCTTGCAAAATGGAAGCAACTGTCTATCACAAGGTATGTATTGCAATATAGAAGCAACTACCTGGTAAGTTCTTGAAGTATATTCAGTTGGTGAATATCTCGTTTCAAGCAGGGCGCGGATGGGATAAAGGAAGGGAGTTAGGTTTGTGTGACTTTAATAGGGTATTGGGTGTCCGTGTGTAGCCTTTGTGTTACTTGGTACATGTATTGGCCCAAAGGCAGTTCCTGAAAATAAACCAAGTTCACTGACGTTTTAAACCTGTATGCATTCGTATGTAGAGCGCTAAGAGGCTGCTCAAGCAAGGGTTAGCGCTCATCAGGAAGGAAACCAAGGTGCATGCGAGAATTCTCAAGCAATTGGAGAAGGAGGCCAAGCAAGCTGCTACAAAGCGCAGAGAGAAGTCGGTGTCCGTCGCTCTAACCAGGTGAGTGCATGTGACTGTACCACAGTCGGCTGTTCATATTAGAAGGGGTCACATTCGGTCCGCAACCGTGAGTTATACATAAATTGTTGACGTTTTATGATAGATATGGAGACGTCATTATGGCGGATATGGTGTGTTTTTCTAGATAGCCAGGCACACACTGAGAGGCGACGACATGCCGTTTAACCTCTGCCAACGGAAACATATACAGCTAACCTCTGTAGTGATGTTCTGTAGGTAAAAGAGACAAGCCAACCAAGCTAGAGTACACTTATGCGCCAGGAAAGCCTGTTGTTTACCCCGCCTTATTGAAAAATAATTACACACAAAAACAAAAGCAAACACACAGAAACAAACAGACACTCCCACACACTGATGGAGAACACAGCGTGTTGTACACACGCAGCGCTTCGGTGAACACATACACCATCAAGATTCCAATCATTGCCATTGCCATTGTCAATACCATTACCATTATGATTCATTCAGAGACAACTGTGTTCCTGTGTAGATGAAAACACGAGAGCATTGTGAGACATGCAGGGTTTGCGCAGGCATCATAAATGACTGTTTCCTTGCACTGCTATTTTAAAACACTCGCATCTACCCGCACAGTATAAGACGATAGTATGGTAGACCCAGAGTGCTTAGTTAGTCAACCTCTGCGCCATGAAAAGTTCGGTACACCTCACGAATATACTTCAATCATGCCCGGCTATACTCAACCAAATACATCGTACACCGGGATGGAGAGACCAGACGGTGTGATGGATATTGTAGGTGGCGGTTTGCTAGATACATCCGCCGTTAAAAAACCAGTACCGCATGTCAAAACACTTGAGAGTCCCTTTGATTACACCAAGCACCGCAACGCAAGTATACACCACAACACACTGGCCCAAGCAATAGCCCCAGGTGCTTTTCAACACACATCCTTCACACCCGTATCTAAAGCAGTACCCATCTAACCCACACAGTGATGAAGAGGACGACAGCATGATGGAGCTGGAGGGACCGGCAAGCCCTGGCGACGCTGAGGAAGAAGTGTATGTGGGGGGCTTGATGCAAAGGCAACCCAGCACCATGCTTGAGGCGCAGACGCTAAGACACTACGCAACGGAAGCGGCTAGAAACGCGTCAAACGCTATAAATAGATCGGAGTCACGCCCGCACCCGCTTGTGTTTGATCGGAAGGTGTGTATGCTCGAGTGCTATAAATAGATCGGAGTCACGCCCGCACCCGCGTGTGTTTGATCGGAAGGTGTGTATGCTCGAGTGCTATAAATAGATCGGAGTCACGCCCGCACCCGCTTGTGTTTGATCTGATTGTGTGTATGCTCGAGTGCTATAAATTGACTGGAGTCACGCCCGCACCCGCTTGTGAGTGTATCCGTGTGTGAGCGTGTGTGTGCGTGTGCGTGGTGTGTGTGTGTGTGTGTTATTTGTTTGTTTGTATGTTTATTTATTTGGAACTTAAAAACATACTTCATAACACTTATGTTTCATCGCTGTACACACTTTTGCCATGCGTAGGGAAACCTTATGTTCGCGGACGAAGATACAGCGGCCAAAATGAACTTCTTAACCAACGAACGAGCGAATGCCGTGTGTGGGAAGACACTGGGTGAGGAACTGGCTGAGTTACCTATATCCTATCCCACCTTTTATACGAAAGCCGCACTCGCTGCGGCATCGACAAGTGGTGTACCGGCCAAAAGGTATTTTTTCATATATTCATATAAATGAATATATAAATCGGTATACTTATATATATATATATACGCACGCACGCACGCACGCACACACACACACACACATATATACACATGTATATATATATATATATATATATATGTGTGTGTGTGTATATGTGCGTGTATGTATATGTTGTGTGTGTGTGTATTTATGTATATATATGAATGTAGTATTGGTACATGCATCATGTGACTGCCTGAATTTGACCAGATTTGGGTATGGATTCTGTTCTAGAAGCAAAGCCATCGATATACATCGGGGGATCATACCCTTTTTTGTGTGTTTTACACTGATTTGTATATGACCGCAACGGTTCATTTCTCTCACTCTGATTTGGGGAATTTGTAAGATTCTTACCTTCATTCCAAAAAAAACTTCTGCTTGAAGACGCATCCTCCTAACACACCCCGCTTCCTAGATTCCAGTTGTAAACTATTTATATATGTATCCCGCCGGATATATAGTCACAACAGTACACCAAGTATCCGTTTCACTACATAATAGTAACCACATACAAATGCAATAACCTGATCCATTACCAGCGGAGCGCCCCAACCCGTCACGCATGTCACCGGTGCATCGCAAACCAATCAGCTGCACCTGTGTGCGCAGTTGTTGACAGGGCCATACTCGAGTCACCTGCCCAAGGCCGACAACAGGTATGCCAGCAGCTATGGCTGTGTCTTAGGTGCAAGTGACTATAGCTGTCTTAAGTACAGGCAATTATGGCTGTATCTTCTTGATATGTAGATATAGACTGATTCGTTAGTAAATGACGAATCGAGCAATTGATTGGAAAGTTATCAGGTTGTATGCCTGCATTATGTTGCATATATATATATATATATATAGAGGGTTCGGGGTCTAGGGTTTAGGGTTTAAGATATCTTTTTTTTTCTTCATTGGGAGACCTGGGTTATTTGGTCATCTTGAGATCTGAGCTTGTATAGCCACTACTGGACAGGCAGAGAGCTTTCAGAGATTGTATTGGCATAGACCTAGTATGGGAATTTATATTCGTACATATCTCCAAGAGAACGATTGAGTAACTCAGCGATATATGATCCATCTAGTATGCAATGTAGCGTATATAGAAAGTCATCCGGAGTTCGTGCCGGCGGTATACAGTCTATATCTCAGATGTAGGTGTTCGATGAATTGTTATGGTGTGTTGTGTAGTGGTACAACATCGGTGCACGCAGCAACCCCCTCCCCCCCTCCTCTCCCACAGCACCTGGATTCAAGCTCATAGTCGAGGACCAACATAATCCACACACCAGTCGACTATCTGCGAATGCATACACCATCCATCCATAGCACTCTGCCGTATCTGTCCACTGACCATAGCACTCTGCCGTATCTGTGCTCTGAACTGTTACAGGTATAGCAAGCTCACAGCCGCCCAGCAGAAGGTGGTGGAGAGCACCTTTGGAGACGAACACGTGTATTCGTACGCCTGTTCACTTCGGAAACGGGCTGAGAATATAGCCATTGCGCCGGACGGGGAAAGGTATGGCGCGTTTATGTACTGTATGGTTATCCACCGTAGTTAGTACGAATGAGAGGGCCCTGGGTTGTTTCGGTTGTAGTATGCAACTGCACACAGGGGTTTCGTATTTGTTTCGTATCCCGATTCGTGTTCTGATCTGTAAGGCGCAGGTGGCTGGTGAGTTCAGACATTCTGTTCGACCGAATTGGAACGCAAAGCTAGTTGGTTTTTTTGTCGAAACAATGTCCTAGCAAAGTTCGGGCATAGTCAATACGAACCCTGATATACGTTTACACCTACTAAAACCACTTTCATAACACACACACACCCACACACACCCACATACACACCTCTGTAGAGATCGTGTGGACAGCCTCATAACGAAGCTCACAGACAACCGGTACAAACGCACGGAGTGGCCGTCGCGCAGCCTGGACTCAGAAATACAGACCCTTGGAGTGGACAAAACGCCGCCGGTGAGTGCTGAGGAGCTGAAGGTGCTGGTGGCCCTGAGCAAGGAAGACGGGGTGGACATGAAGTGGCTGGACACCATGTTTAAGCCAAGGGACGAGAACATCAGGCGCACCCCCGAGTGTGTGCAGGATGTCTTGGGTATGCATCTGCGTCCGAGTCTGATTCTGTGCGCGTGTGTTTTGCGTGTGCGTGTGCGTGTGCGTGTGCGTGTGCGTGTGCGTGTGCGTGTGCGTGTGCGTGTGTGTGTGTGTGTGTGTGTGTGTGTGTGCGTGTGCATGTGCGTGTGTGTTTGTGTTTGTGTGGGTGTTCGACTGAGTCTGAATCTGCATGTGCGGGTGTGTGTGCCTGTCTGTATGTGTATGTGTGCATGTGCCTGTGTGCACGTTCCAGGTATTCCTTGTGTTCAAGCTCTAGCACAGCAGTATCATACTTCTTACATACATAGCTTCTCAATCAACCCTGTTCTTGTGCTACATCCTTGATCGGGCATAACACTGTCTCGAATGCATATGAAATCCTTCCGATATAGGCACGCCATATACTTTGCTGATAGCAGGCTAGTTTACTTCACCCTAAATCCCATCTAACTTTTCCTGTTCCGTTTACGTTTTCCTCTTAGACGATACGTCTGGTTTACTGTGGGAGTTGGAGAAGGTGCAAGCCATACGCAAAGCGGTCGGCAACACCTCCTCGTACAAACCGGAGGAACGGGCGTTGGGTATGTTATGCACGTGTGTCATGAATGCGGAAGGAGCTATCTTTATCTTTATCTGTTTATATGCGTATACTTGCCGATACTTTTAATGCCAGATGTAAAATGTGGCTACCTATACATGACGATGGGGAAGCCGGTGTGTAGTACTACACTCGAGAACGGGTTGTGTGTGAAAAGGAAACTCGTGATACAGGGCACGAGTCATGTACTTCTGATCACCCCCCATGACACCTACATGTAAGATACGTTGGTGTATTCAGTCAGCCTATCAAACGACCCACGGATCGGAATCTATGCAACAGGTGGTACGTGAGAACTAAGCCATACTGGACTGTGGGGACCAACGGCGCACATACACACACTTCTGTAGTCAGACATGTGTTCAGACGCATACTCACGTCGATCTCCACCTTGCCCCCTCTACAGCACAAGAAATAGTGACGCGGCTGAAGCAGCTTTTAAGCATCGCCTACCCTCAGTAGAGGTACCTACAGCCCTCTCTCTCTCTCTCTACCAACACGTTGGTATTAGCTGAGTATATGAGCTGTGGTCATTCTGGTGGGCACATCCGAAGCAGCCGGAGTGCCTCTAACCTATCAATGGCCTTCTGTTTGCACTGTATCACCGCTGTGGTGTCTGTGAGGTAGTAGATCTGTCGCGGCCATTCTGGCCCATACTATACTGCACCACCCCATAGTAGAATGTAGCGGTCGTTGTTTTACTTCCCACAAGACCCACCAGTGGACCAGCACCCCAAATCCCCAAGGGCACACAGTGCGACACGGCACAACGAGCTCCTGAGAAACCCATTACGGGCGTCGCAGCAGATGTACCTCCACATAGCCGCTGCTGAACCTGCGTCCATGCGTCTATTCCGGGTATTAGAGTGGCTTGGTATGTGATGGGATCACCCGCAGGTTATGCAACTGGCGTTCGGCTATAGTGATTGGCTGGTGAGTGTGTACACCAATATACACCGGCCTCCAACACTACCACCCCCACCCCCCCCCCCCTCCCTCTCTCTCCTTCTCGTGCCCTTTCAACGGTATCAAGCACGCAAACCTGCGTGTGGCTGTATATCAAACACATCCCCTCTCTCGCACACTGCAAAGCACATCACTTAAAGGGTGCTGCGGGAACACTACACACCGGTTCTTGACCTAGTCAGGTCTCTCATTACCCCGTATTGGGCGGTCGGGTTCAGGGTGTAGCTTGGGGCACTCACAAGCACACTCGCAGACCGTTGTGTGGACTTGAGGGTGGCCGTAGTCGATCTCACCGCTGTCCCGCCCCTGGGGATAGCCTGCGGATCCGTACCCGTGCCGTGTGTGTAGTCATTCGTCGCCGGAGGCTGTGGATCGGTATCATTCTGGGCAGTAGGTGGCTCAAACGAGGCCTATTGTGTGGTCAAGCCCAGTGGCTTTGGTTTCCGCAGTTGTATCATTGTGAGGGGACCCTCTAGTCCTCTACCCAGGGCTTCTGGCTCTCTGCCCCACACTATATATGTTAGAGGCATTCTCTGCAGGATTTTCTAAGAACACGGGGTTGTCTGCCAGCTTGCAATTCGGTGAAAAGGAGTGTCAAACAGCTTTCAGAAGGTGCCAAATTACTTTCATTCATATGGTGTCAAACAACCTTTAGAAGGTGTCAAACAGCCTTCTTATGATGTCAAACAGCTTTCATAGGATGGGGACGGACGGACCGGCAAACGCGAAGTGTTCATTTGGCTCTCGTTGCCCTCGTTCACTTAGCGTAGAGTTCTCCTCTGTGCTCCTCGGCACACAGTCATAGCACAAAGGTGCTCTGTTCAGCCGTGCAATGGTGGACCAAGCGTTTGGACCGGGTCCTGACCCGTTTGTCGCTGACTAGCCGATAGTCATCACAAGTGGTCTTGTGAAGCTTGGTTTCAGCAGACTCGGGTTATTGGGTAGATTGCTACCTGCAGCGATTCCAGGCCTCGTCCGTCCAAACGATAGTAGCGAGATTTCCCACAGCAGGATGTTTCATTGAGCCCGGAACATTGGGCTGAAAATTTGTCCAAAGGCAGCAGTAAACGTGGACATTGAACTGTAACTTTAACCCCGCAAGCACTGAAAACATCGAAATTGGATTGCTCACTTGTATTATTGGCGGTATAATATTCTTACTCAGGCGCACCTTTGATCGTATGTATGAGCATTCCATACCGTTGATATGAGATGACAAGAGTTTATTTATCACTCAACACAGAATAGTAAATAATTGGTAACACTTGAATTAGAAGCCTATGGCTTCACTTCACTGTACCCTGTTCAATTAAGGAGGCTATGATTGTACATAGTCATACATAGCCTCCTGTAAAAAGGCATAGCCTCCTAGCTAGGACCCCTATCTTTAGAGGAGAGACAGAGGGGGTATACTGGTATATCCTTGTCTGTTTTAGGAGGCTATGATTGTACATAGTCATACTCTGTTTTAGGAGGCTATGAAAAAAGTGTCATTTTAGGAGAGTTTGAAAAAAAAGTGTCATTTTAGGATGGTCTGGAAAAAGGCACGTCATAGACACAATAAATGCCGCCAAAGCAACACATCCCCAAATATAGAACCACCTGTCTGCCACTACTACATTAGTGACTTATCATATTTAAGTATTGTGTTTCAACTTTCAACTCACTTTCAAATACACATGATGGACAGCCAATAAGAAGTCGGTTGCAATGGCTCCATGTCTCACTGACTGTGCTCGACAGTACGAGGCTCTTATTTTTGGTTCGTTTTATATATATACAAATGATACGCAAAACCAGCAAGTGTTTGTACATATGTACGACGTATGTATGTACGTCTGTATAATTGTATATTCATAGA